TATACCGACAGCTCGACAGCACGACACAAACGCAACCAGTGCTCACAATAATATCATATATATGTGTACATACATATTTATACTCATCACTGTGTTTGTGCGTACGTGACGGGATCGTCATGCCCGTTGCGTTTATTGAAACGTTCACTTCGACAACTTCAATTTCTTGCACGCCAGTGATTGTGATTTGATACAAAACACACCCAACATACACCAAATTATATATGTGGTAGTATATGTGGCACACACCAACGCCTGCGCAATCAAATGTACACGTATATGCAATTCATTATAATAAATTGCGTCAATGGGAATCTAGATTTGAGCAGCTGTGTTGTTAGTGAGGAGTGTTTGCTGGTGTTGGGTATCATATATTCACACCTGCACACACACACACACACACATGACAAGGTCTTTGGTACACCCGAAAAATTAAGGCTCTCCACTGGCACAGCACCGAAACAATATATTTCACCGCTTGACAAATATCTGATGCTGGCGTTGCAGTAGACAAATTTCACAAGTTGAAAAGTTATCAGCAATAAATTTGTATGAAATTTGCCAACAAACAAGCAAATGAATACAACTCTGTAGTCGTAGCATACTTTAAGGCGGCGCATGTATAGTTTTGCTTTTACGTAATGCGTACCGGTGCGCTTAAGAGCAACAAACTTTGTTTAATATATTTTTCTAGGTGCGCAAAACACTTTGTTATTGTTGTTGTTGTACAATATCTGCTATATGAGAGCGATGGTTGTGCGCACATAATTTACATTTTTGCGTAAAGTTTAAGGCAATGAAGCATGCAAATAAGAGACGTAAATAAACAAATGGCTGAACTTAGTCACAGTTGGGCAGCATTGCTTGACGTTATATATTTGGGGCATGCCGAGAATTCATACTGAAGCCCAATGAAATTCTTAACCACACTTTAGCTAGTATTTTGTATATTTTTGAGAGGCATTAAAAAATTGTATTTTTTACTTAAATTTTAAAAATAGTGGAGAAAACTCTTAAATAGTACTTTAGGCTATGTACCAGGTGTATTATTATTTTATATGTCAGAATATTCAAAGAGTCAAAATAAATGTGTGTGTAAAGGTAATGTTTCTCTTGCGGTCGAAAATGTAGGTATCTACATTGCGATTAGTTAAAGGATGAAAACGCTAATCTATAAAAACGTATATTCAAAATTCTGTTTATCAACCCAAGGCTTGCCAATAATACATTAAAAAAATAACAGAATTAGCATTAAAATTAATTTTTTAGTCCCGGAAATCTTAATTTAAAATGATTTTCAAGTCTCTAACCCGAAAAACTGAATTGAAAAACAAAATCGGAGTAAAAAATAAAAAAAGGTTATTTTTAATGAAAAATTTTTGAATACAAAATTTGCAACCCTGATCAACTCTAATTTTGTAATGAATAGGCTATGCACATAGTGGAATATTAACCTTTAAGCGTAAAATTTGTCGAATGGAGGACTTTAGAATAACTTCTAGATATCTGAGCATTGAAGCCGAAATTTTGATTATTAGGCTAGGCACAGAATGAAATGTAGAGAATTTTCTCTATGGTAAGAAACTAAAGCTTGACAAATGAACCACTATAATATAAGTTTTGCAAATACATATTAATGCTCTGAAGCCGCAGTTTCGGATATTTTTTTTATATCCTGAATACCCTATTGATTTCATACAAGGTACAATTCAAAAGTTCCAGGACTTTTAAACAGCGTGGCTTCTAGTGGCGCCATCTGTCTGAAATTATCCCTCAATTGTGTATTCTTCAGTGTTGTCTTATAAAATTTATATAACAGCTGACTTGTCGCGCTACATGTGACATTACATTTGTAGTGTCGGTCGGAAAATGAGCATCGAACAAAGAGCCAACATTAAGTTCTGTTTTAAACTTGGTAAAACTTTTACCAAAACTCATCAAATGATGAAACAAGTTTATGGCAATGATTGTCTATCCCGTAGCCGTATTCACGAGTGGTTTAAACGTTTTCAAGAGGGACGGGAGGACTTGGAAGACGACGAACGTTCGGGCCAGCCAAAAGATGTTAAGAACGAAAAAAACACGGAAATTGTGCGTGAATTCATTAAAAAAGAGCCGAAATCATCGCTTAAATATATAGAATCGGAATTATCAATATCCGCAGCGTCGATTTATTGTATTTTGACAGAAAATTTGAACCTCTGAAAGGTTTGTGCTCGATTTGTCCCACACACTTTGAAACAACACGAAAAAGACCTCAGATTTTTTGACCAAAATCGCATTCATATCATCAACCATTCACCCTATTCGCGTGATATGGCACCCTGCGATTTTGCTATGCTGACGTTGATGCCATCCTCAACGCTATACCGACAAATGACCTAGAAAAGTCATTCGATAACCTTCTTGAGACTATTTTGAAGACGACCAATCAATTTTTCAAAAAAAAAACAAATAATATTCGTTTTTTAATAAAAGTCCTGAAACTTTTGAATTTCAACTTGTATTAAGTTTGTAACGAAGTTTGTAACACCCAAAAGGAAACGTCGGATATCCTTAAAGTATATAAATAAATTATCAGCATGACGAGTTGAGTCAATTTAGCCATACCCGTCTGTCTGCATATACGCGATATCGATCTGAAATTTCGCACATGTCCTTTTCTATCCAAAATGCTGCAGATTAGTCGGAACGGTCACTATCGAACCACTATAACATATAGCTGCCATATAAACTGAACAATCGAAATCAAGCGCTTGTATGGAAAGCTTTTTCGTTTGATGAGATATCTAACTTAAGACAGTAATAAATTCTCGGGAAAAATTGTTAAGATCGAATCACTATAGCATATAACTCCCATACAAACCGAACGATCGAACTCAAGTGCTTGTAAAGAAAGGTAAAATAGCTTCGGTGCAACCGAATTTAACGTTTTTTCTTATTATATTTATATTTATATTTATATTTATAAAATATATATACAAATTTAACATAAAATTATACTCTAAAGTTTCCACCTTAATTTCCTTGCAATAACTGTTTTCAAAATTAAATCCTCTAAACGAAACACTTTCATAAACCAAAATATCGCTTATTCGCCACAGTAAAAAGTTTTAAAAGTTTAACCTGCCATCCGCCATCCGCAACCCGAAACGAAATAAGTAAATTAAGATGCCACTTATTTCCGTACATTTGCAATTAATTTACCATTTAAAGTGACCGAAAAGTCGGTGAATGCACATGGCAGGTGTATAATTATTATGTTGCATAGTTTCCGGAGTTCAACACAGTTTCGCTTAAAGAAATCAAATGTGAATGAAAACATTGTAAACTAGGTTTTGAAATTTGCGGAAGAAATAATTGCTGCTCTTTGTTGAGCAAACAAAAATGTGGCTAAATTTTTTAACAATAAACTAACAACAAGATTTAAAAAAATTATTAAAAAAAAGATTTAAAAAAATATACAACTTTTTTTTTAATAGTAAATTACAATAATTGTAAGGAGAAACATAAAAAAAATAATAAAACATTAAACTGATAAATAATAAAATTATGAGCAACTTAATTTATTTCATTGGTAGTGAATAAATCATTTAGTTTATTCATTTCTAATATTCGAAGCCTTTTATAAACTCCTTCCCTTATTTTTCACATTTAAAGCACTCATTAAGACCTTTAGTGAGATAACTAAATAAATGTGTGTATATGACCAAATGTCTTTGGAAAGGTCTGACTGCAGGATTTTTTAACACTTTTTTTCGGCGACTATAAAATAACGTTGCCTACATTTAGGTTACTGCACACAACAATTAAAATTAATAGCTCATAAAAAAATTATAGACCCAAAAAGCAAATATTTTTAAATATGTGAACCGCATTCTTGTTTTTACACGCAAAAATATCAAAATTAAATTATTATACTAAGTTAAAGCCTTCCAAATTTAAAATAAATTTTCATCGAAAAACAACCAAAGCTACCAATTTCGTTCAGTCATAACACCCAAGAGCCATTATTTGTCACCCACGTCAATGTACTGTAAGTTTATATATATTTCTGAAATTAGGTCGCTGCTAAAATATATTTTAAGGAATCCTAAATGTAGGCAATGAATTTATATAATTTTTTGTTTTTTCATTTTTTATTATTTTAACCGAAAAAATAAGAAGCTGTGTTCATAGCAACAACTTGACAACTACGCGCACACCACCTTAACTAATCTTAACTCAATCTTGGTTCAGCCATAATTCCCAAAAGCCATTATTTGTCTTCAAAATCAAAGTACTGTAAATTTACAAGCTGTTGACACAAAATAAGACAGAGTTTAGAGATTGCGACAATAGGTGCGCCACTCACTTTACGCTATCAAAATAATTTCCACAAATTTGATGAAAAATCAAATTGGTCGGTGTATTATTTGCGCCTGTAAATGCGCCAAAGACGACGGTGTTTATTTGTTTACTTTCACTGCTTTTTTGCGCCACCTACTGCCACATGGAAAATGTGAAAAATTTACGCAAGCTTAACAACTCCGGCTCCAACTTTTCACACGATTGCCAAAAACAACAAAAGACAGCGCGCTACAAAATACATATAAACAAACAATAATTTTAAAAAGAAATTACAAAAATACACGACAACTGCTTGTTGACATTTCGTCCAGACGTGCCTCGCAGCGGAAACGCCGCTGCACTGTGGCACTTTGGCACTATGACAAGGTGCAGCAAAGGAAGTTGTAAGGCGAACAAATAAGTGAAAGGTAGGAGATAAGAAGGGAAATATGCAGAAAAAGAAACAAAAAATTTATATATTTGTATATTTGTAAAGTAAAAGTGGCCGCAGGGGCGCAAATACTACACAGCAGCCAGGCTTGTGCAGCGCGTAGCAAAATAAATAAAAGTAATAATAACTGTACATAAAAGATTAACATAACATAAATACATATATGGTAAATATACATACATCTATATGTAAAGATAAAACAAATAAACCAGAAACTTACATATATTCAACAGCTTTGCTAGCTGTTGTTGTTGTGCACACTTTTGGGGCACAAACTTTGCTGCTTCCGCTTTGCTCACAAGTTGGTTAGTAGGTCTTTGACAGTCGACACATGTGCTTAACACACACGCACCTACACAACTACACACATACACACGCAATTATGGATGAAACAAGCGCTTGCGAGTACGTTCACTTTTTTGCACACGAGCAATTTATACCGACGATGAGGCGCGACGCGCGTCAACCAACGAACGACACAACAAACTTTACACGCACAACGGCACTTTACGAAAACTTTTCCGCATTCGCGACGAATTTTGCTTTGTCAAGTGTAAAAGCCTACCGAATGGCAGAGGAATGGAAATAAAGCAAAGTAATGAAATGGAGGACTTTGCTTGCTTGATTTTGTGTGTGTGTGTGTGCTTTGTTTGTTTTTGTGTTATTTTTGTGGGCTCGTAACAACAAATTCATTTAAACTTTACCAATTTACGACACACTTGCCTTGTTTGACGTAAGTTTTACACACACACGCACAAACACACACTTATACAAATATGATATTTTGCACTCTCTGCTTGTATATGTGTTTATATGCGGCAGAGGCAGCACTTTTCTAACGCGTTTGCAGTTTCCACTTTTCAAAAACTGTTTTTTCTAAATTTTTTTTTTTTTTCAGTGAATACACTTTGTTTGCACGTGTAATTCCGAGGGCATGTCACACATACACATGCAAGTATAAACGTCTACCCACTCACATATACTTGTGATGTTTACTTTGCTTTCGCTTTTGCGCTATTTACCAGCGCACTTAAAATATTATTTGTGTTGCCTACTTTGGGGCGTTTACACTTCTTTCTCGAATATCTCCGCTACCTTTTGCGTTATCCCGCAACTTTCGCCCTTAAATTATGTTTTAATAATCTTCTGCATTGCCGCCAATGCAAGCATGTTGTTGCTGCTTTTAATGTGGCAAACTTTGAAACACTCGCGCTGCCGCCACGTAGACACTTTATTTTTACAACTTCAATTTGTTGAGCTGCACATAATTTTCTTTTTTTACTATTTGGCACACAACTGCTGCCGCAACAACAACATTTTAGCTTGCATTTGTTGCGAACTTAATTACAACTGAGACATTAAGTTGTGTTGTCTGTGCGTTTTTGGTGCTAAAACGTTTTTAAACACTCGGAACCGCTTAAGTACCGTTAATGCATAATTTCGGGCGCCCACGAATTGAATTATTCGCAAAGTTTGTCTACAATTATTGAATTTAATGTAGTTTTTATGCTTGCTGTTAGCACTTTTTTATGCTGCGCGCATATTGTGTCGGAAATTTTTGCTCCACTGTTGGCTTGAGCTTCGCTACTGTACGCTTGCTTACGCATGATGATAAGCAATCATTTTTGGAGCTGCAAAGATAAGTGTTTAGAGCATAATTAATTTTATATGACTTTATTGTTAGTATGCGGTTAGTTAAAGTGGCAAATTTACAGCAATTGGTTAACATTTACAAATTGCTTACAAGCGCAGCAATTCTAAAACATTGTGTTCAACGAGCTAAAGTATTAATTAATGTAAAGATTTTTGATTCAACAGTATGACTTTTCAATAAAAATAGTCATTGGAGAAATTCTTGTTACATTTTAGTACTAAACATTTAGCATTACCAGATCAGGGCTACAACTTTCATCAATGGTAAAAAGAAAAAAATATAATATTGGAATGAAACCCAATGAAAAAAAACAGAATGTCAAAAAAATGCAAGTCTTAACAATTTTCGGGCGATCTGCGGTCGGAAAGTGAAAGCGACTGGGTTTCTAAGGGTTAAAAACGGTTTATTCCGATTTCCGGCCAAACAAGGAGTCCGATGAAGAAAAGTTAAATAGCAAAGTTGTGAAATATAAAAAAGATCTACAACTTTTTCACTAACAACTTTTTCGCATAACCTCAAAATTTACGTGAAAATTCAAATAACCAAATTTTTGGGCTTTTTCATTTAATCTTTTACAAGAAAAATTTCCTTCGCAAAATTTGGTGTAAACTAACCTTTTTATGGTCCAAATAAATTTTATTATTCTTTCGCTAATTAAATATTAATTCTTTCGCTTTATTTTGACTAAATATCGGAAATGAACCCCAATTTTCAATAGTAATCTAAAGTTCGAACATTTGCTTTTTTAAAGAAGTCGTTGTGCTTTTTCTTCATTGAATACTCTACTACAAAAGTTCCCTGAATCGTTTAAAAGCTGCTAATACGAAATTACAGATAGATAAATAAACTAAAAGGTTTAATCATTTTTTTGCCATATTTATATTTGTTACATTCACTTTCTTGTTCAATGAGTTTCATTCGACTAATATTCTTTTTGGTTTAAAAAATTATCGACATTGGTCTGGTAGAATAATTTTTATTTATTTATTGTATTTCAAAAATATTTTCAAAATTCATTATTATGAACACATTCCAATCCTCATATTCATTAATCCTTAACTAGATGGATGTATTCGATGAACTTAAATCTCAATAGCCTGAATGTAGGCAACGGTTTTGAATTATTTATTTTATTTAACTTTTTGAGCTTACAGGATGCGCTATGTTTTATGTTGGCATGTGAACACTAAACAATTTTGACATTTACTAAGCAATTATGACGGTCAGACACGAAAGCTGATCTTATTGCAAATAGTAGAAACCAAGAAAAAAATATGGTATCAGAGACTTAACTTATTTTCAAAATGTAGGTAAAGAAGTATAATCATTTCTCAATCAAGCTTTAAGCGTCTTTCTCTTGAAATTGCATTTTTCAAATTGACGACGATCGGTACTCGAAAACTATGACACGTTTCCACACAAAATTTTAATCGTAGTCTCACAGTGATTTTATTTAGTAATGATATTATTTAGTAAACTTTTACAAGAATACAGGAAAAAATCCAAAACAAAAGTTTAAAATTTCAAAAATTAGCAGCTGATGAATTTTGACGTGAACATACACATGATTTCAACCCTCTTAGCAATCTGAAACCAAAAGGAAATAAAAAGTTTTAAACTAGAATAATGTCGCTATGTCAGGAACTATGGAAAGTTTGGAAAAAAAAATTTCACGGAGTTGTATTGTAATTCGGTACAGTAGAACCTGAGAAATCGTTGGTATCATTTTGAATATGAATGAATACTTGTATCTCCGCCATAATACCTATATTTCCGGAAATGATTTGAATTTAAAAACTCATCTTGTAGACCTATTTTTTAATAGTTAAGCTTTTAAAATATAAGGGGAAAAAAATTTTATTTATTTTTATTTCTAGAATAGAATACCCTCTTAACAGGCTTATAAAATATGTACTATCCCAAGAATTTCATAATTTAATAAGATTAAATATAATTATTTAAAATTTAATTCTTAAAAAAAATTACTTTAGTCGGTGCATGTCTTCGGTGATTTTTTATGAAAATTGCCTATAATAAGCACCGAGATCACTTAAAACATTGGAAGGAACAGTAGAACAAACGAAGTGATGGAGATCTGTCGCTTAGGTGCATAATAAATTTTAGTAAACTAATTTTTTTGGTTTAATTCTAAAAATAATAGTATTGGCATTGATGCGTTTTCTGCCCATTTGAACGAATTTTTTATGTTCTTCTTATGAACAGAAAGCATTCCTGTTATTGTGTGCTCTATATGGGTAACCAGTTGGCCTGCAATTGTTACAACAAGGCTTGAAGAGAAAATTTAAAATCAACGCATTTTTATTCTCATAAAAACATGCATATATGCGCATTTTATCGAGAAGCAAAAATAAAAAATCTCACGCCGATCAAGCCAACAAACCGGCCATGCGGCATTCAGCCAGCCAACCTTCCACCTAACCACCGAGGCAAACACAATGAGCGGCGTCAACAATGCCAGCTGTCATACTCAATCAAGCGATATAAAAGTCGACTTGATAGTCACGAAGCGTGCAAACATACATACGTACATAATATGCCGAGTCAAAAGTAGCAATATGCAACCAACGCAACGTTAACCAATGTTTCCCAGCGGTGGACAGTTGTACGCTGACAATTGCTATTGAGATTATATGCCATTAGCGCAATGCGTGGACAATGCAGTAGGCGGAAGAGGCGCGAAAGAATTTCAGAGCCAATTGTGACTTATTAAAGTGTGCTTGTGCGTGACATAGAGGTTGTAGGCACAGAGTTCAATAATTTTATAATTATATAAAGCGTTGTTTTTATATTACCGATAAAGCCTTGCGAGAGAAATTCGACTCAAAATAACTGTTCGACTTACATTTGTGACTCGAAATTATAGTGCGTCAACCTTTAGTGTTATGCGCTTTATAAATTAGAGTAAATTTAGGCCCAAGACCCGTCATGGTGAAATGCGCGAATTTATAATTATTGCTATAGAATTGCAAGTGCTTTGTTCATATGTTTGCTTTTGTGGTTATGACCGCGCTCAATCCGAACAGCAGTTATACATGGTACGAGAGCAGTTACATAACTATAGAAACAAACTGGTTTCGAATCAGTGTGATATAAGTGAGAGGCTGGTAAAATAACTAAGTGCAAAAATGGACGCGTGTAGTGAGGCTTGAATCGAAAATGCGAACATACATATAATATATAGCCGGCTCTTAAATATCTGTTGAATGCTTGGTCGAATTTCTTAAACCTTGCATAGCGAGCGCCTTGATTTTACTGTATAAATAGAAAAGCCTACAAACTGAGCGATTAATAAACTTTATGAAAAGCACGTTAATTACAAAAATGTGCTACAATGTTTAGCGTTCTCAGTAATAGGGTGACTGCTGATTAAAAAGGAGGTCGTAGTAGGGATCGAACTCAGATTCCGTAGAGAGGTAATATGACTCCCCAATCATCACCGCAACCAAATATATTTATATAATATTTAAAAGGGCGGTCAGCTTTCACTTCCAATGCGTAGCAGTTGAAATATGAAATCGAAAACTCAATATATAAAGGGTTGAAATCAAAAAGATGAAAATATAAAATAAAATTCAGTAAATAAAATGAAAGGGATAAAGCCAGAACCGCAACGTACAGAGCATGCATACACAATCAATCATATATATAGTCAACAAACAAGCATACTACGAAAAGTGGCAACAGCGCAAAGGGGTTAAGTGAACGTAGGTGGTAAAGGAGAGTGAGCGCATAGAAATAAATGAAAGTAAAACCGTTAGTTCATGTGTAAACAATAAAGTTCAAGGATAGCCGCTTACAGAAAGAGAACGCCATACAAGTATAAGCGCATATGGGCTAGTAGATTTAGTATAGCAAAATAAATACTAAAAAATATTTAAGTAGACAGTGAAGGTGGTGCGTTCCACATCAACGTTGCGTAATTGTGCAACAGCTGGCTTCCGTCTGCGCTTCCATGGCCAGCAGACCAGCAGACCGGCAGGATTTGCACAAAATAACACAAACACAAGTGTCGTCACACTTGCCGAAGCCGTGCGCACAAATGCAAATGCATATGCATGAGTAAAAAGCATAATAAATAACAAAAGCAACAACCATAACACGCAAATCTGCTTATAACAACAGCAGTAGCAGTAGAGTAAAGTAGTGCAAAAAGTGGCAAAAGCACTAGAATCGAGTGCAAAATAGCGTGAAAAGCAAAGCTGCTGTTGCTCTCAAAGCAACTGAGGTCAAGTTCTTAAAGGCAAACACAAAAGCATTTTTCACACTTAACTGCACTATTTCGCATGCTACGCACGTAAGCTGGCAGAGCTTATACACCTACATACACACCTATATAGGTATATAGGTACTAGCTCGTAATCCTAACGGCTTGTGCTGGCTTGTTCTTTCCGTTGAATATGCGCCTTTTGCTGCGCTGCTTTGAGTTGCACTTTCATTACCGCTTGCTTTATGTGCGCATACTGCTGCAAGCGCCTTAAACTATGCTTGCTTTTACTGCAAGTATGTGTGGGTCCAAGTGTGTATGTGTGAGTGTGTGTGGAACCTGTGCATAGCGCGCATACTTTGCAGGTGTGTCAGTGCACTGGTGGCAATGCTAACTAGGTTTTCATGTTTTAATTATGCTAATGCGAAATTGTTGCAAAAATACTTGTATGTATATAAAAAATGCATGCCAACACACGCAAAAGTATGCAACGTATGCTACTAATACTCAAACGAGAGTTGCTAAGCAAAATTTTGTGTATTTTTTTAAAGTTATGCCTTGGGTTTTTCTATCTAAAAATATTTTAAAACCAATATTTAGCCGTAAATTTGGGGTGGTTTTATTTTAAAACACGCGCTCTTAAAAGTATGCCACGATTTTCCGCTGCTGTTTGTTTAGTACACAGCGTATCCTATTACACATCTATATAATTATATATATATATATATGCTTTTAGCTATGTATTTAAAACT